TCACCCCAGACATCATCCAGACATTGGAGGGAAATTTCCTTTTTAAAAACTTATTCTGGACAGAGGGATGGAGGAACCATGTCCTGGTTGAGGTAAAAAGCAGAAACTAGGAAAGAAGGAAGATCTAGGACGCAATACTACCTTGTCCATTTGCAAAACCAAAAAGGTTCCTTGCAGGATAGGGCCACCAGTTCAGATACATTCCTCGCACGAGGTGGTGGCTACAACAAAACCCCACCTTATGGGTGAGAGTATAAAGAGGAATAACTCTGAGTTCAAACATCGGTTCCTGAAGCACAGAGAAGGACCGATCCCATGGAATGAACAGGGGGAGCTCCATGGGAGACTCCCTGTACAAATGTCTTAAAAGAGGGGACAAAGGTCCCTGAAAAAAGATCAAAAGTTCAGAAACCTGACCGATGATCGTGCTGAGAGTCAAATGCTGGTCCAGATCCAGCTACAGGAAGGAGAGGATTCATCCCACGAGCAGATACGCCAACACTCACACCAAATAAAATATGCCTTCCATTTCTAACAATGGACATGCAAGAAGTAATCTAGCTTTAGGAATCAGACTGTTACTTGTTGGCATGAATGGCATGGCTGTTGAACCGGGGTTCTAAGAACAAGGATGGCAAATTGGTTCTTAGAACAGAAAGATTCTGACACTCCTGCAGAGATCACAGAGAATCTGCTGGGAGTCTTATCAGGTCAGTTTGTCACACCCACCTAGGCGAGTTCAGAGCAATGAGGATCACCAAAAAGCCATCTTGATCCTGCGAAGCAGAGGAGAAATCGGGGTGTAACGATCTCACAGAGACACCAGAGCATCCTCTGGTTCTGTTGGAGGGTCCCTTCATCTAGAGACAAATCTGTTATATTTGGAGGTAGAACCTGGCGGCCACGAGGTTCATATCTGGTATCCCCCCCCCTGGAAAACCTCCAGGTTTAAAGACCACTCCCCCAGACTCAAGCACTGTTCGCTGAGAAAAACTGATAAAAGTCAGTTAAGGAGGTAACACATAGGGCAGAGCGCTGACAGTGTTCAAAGCAGAGCGTAAAGATTGTATTCCAGCAGCAGCACTCACTAGATGATTCAATCTCTAGTGTTAGCCAGTGGGAGTAGTGAGCTATGGGATACTTCCCTGCCCCGGATTTATTAATTTAAGATGAGCCGTTATTGTTTCATGTGAGTTTTAATAAACAATGGCTGACTTTAAGCAATGCTGAGAGCACTATGTTTTTCCCTTTTTGAGAAAGCGAGATTAATGGATTGATCAGTATATAATGATACTGCAGCGCAGTACCATTTATTTATATATAGCTGAGAAAATCCGCCTGCCAATGAAATGAATGAACACAGTGGAACAAGGCTAGAACATGAAGTCCTGCAAAGGTTCAAATCAGCCTCTTTTGTTGCACCACTAGGACATTCAGATGTCCTAGTTAGGGTGGTACTGATACAGGTACCAATACAAAGCATTTGCAAGAGTATCTGTACTCCGGACAGCGGGATTCCCCTGCTGAAATGTAAACAAAAGAATGCCGGGAATAGGCATGCATTATCCGTTTTACATGTTTTCAAGTCTGACATCTGGTTCTCCTTGCTAGGTCACTATCCCAATAAAATAAAGTAAATAGAACCAGTGCCACGGAAAATATATATAAATCAATAAGCTGCAAAATCTAACCTATAGAAGTGTATAGGGTGTACCAACCTGTTTTTTTATATACTTAGGTCACTATCCCGCCTACCCCATTTATCCCACACACTGATCATACAGTCTCCATCCAATAACCCAGCCCACCTCCATATCTGCCAACCCCCTAGCCACTCCCACCTGTCAGTTTCAAATGCTTGGCGCCAAATGTTCCTTCCTTTGCTGCCTCTATAAATTCATCAGACACTGACAACCACCCTTCTGGTTAGTATCACCCTCCTATCTCAGACAACCCCCTTCTACTCTGCTCCCAGCCAGCATCCATCCCTTTCCCTCATCCTGCAAACAAGTCCAACCGCAAGCCCTTCTCCTTTATCTGTCACGGCTGCCTGACGCTTCTCTGCATCTCCTCCCCCCTCATATTCCTCCAGCTCTCAATCCTCATCTTACTCTCACCATTCCTTGCCCATTTCGTTTTACAACTGCCAATCCCCAACTGTCAAACATTCCACTCTCCCATCAGTTAGCACTACCATCTATCCTACTCCTAGTTTAGGCAATAGGGATCTGTAACTGGTATTTGAGAGCATAAAAAAAATAAACAAAAATGTATCAGTACTCATGTTAAAAAAAATAAAAAAATGGTATCCGTGCATAGCTACTTTACTACTGTAGTACAATGGTCCGACACTGCAGAGACAGCCAAAACTGCCCCAGGATTTTTACTGAGAGAGACTCTAGAAAACAAGTCTCCTGCATCAACAATGCATCAACAAGGTGTACAGGAATCCTCCCCAGCTCAGTAAACTGGCATTCGTTGCCAGGAACTACAAAAAAACACGGGATGAAAGCCAGAATCCTGGTACTTGGTGACAAAGGAATCTGCCTGCCTAACACAACAGAGCCAAAAATGAGAAAAATCGATCATTTTTGTTCTTGGGCACAAATAAGCATTAAGAAATTAGTGCTCAGCAACTTAGGAAAAATGGAAGCAAAACTGAAAGAAAAAAAAAAAAAAAAAAAACACCATACCGGTGTTTTAAAATGCCTATAAATTATCAAGCATTAGAAGAACAACAAACTTTCAGAAGACTGCAGGAAGTGGCATCATGATGTACACAGCTGTTGCCTCATATTACACATATGTATTTTGAGCTTCAAACAGGTTCTTAGCAGTTATAGATGCCACATCAAGATGGAACAGGTGCAAGGAACAGCCAGATTAAGATGTAGGAGCTATTTCAGTTTTAAAAAGTCCAGCAGCCTACCGAAAATGTTGCCAACTCTTCACAATGTAGGAGTACCAACTGTTTAAGTCAACTCTGCTCTCCAAAATGAAATAAAACGCTTCACAGCATCTACTTCATGGACCTGAAATCGTCTGAAGTGTTTCCAAGTATGCAGAAATCCATGTAGGCTTATAAATGCAAACGAAAACTGGTAAATTGTAATATCAGGCCCTGACATGGACTTTTTAAATGACCACTAGTTTAAAATATATTGCATTGCATGTGGTTAATACATGTAATGGCAGTACTTTGTACATCATTTCTTTTTTGTTGATTTTAGAGGCCTTTACTTTTTCTTCACATTTACATGTCAAACTGCCAACAAAAAATAACAGTCACAGCAGTTGGGAAAAACCACATGACAAAAACACTCCTAGGGACACCAGCAGCGGTCAACTTATTTACATGGTGTAATAATTTTTTTCCCAAATGCAAAAGTACCGCATAAAAAACATTTTTTTTTTTTCAGTTTACAAAAAATACAAAAAGCAACAAGTGAAACCAAAATCATTAACTGCTGGTCATCAGGGAAAAAACAAACAAGTCACTTTAACAGTGTCCCAGTTAATTTGAGATGATTGAAAAGATCCATACGCCAAAACAAATCTGGAGAACCACGGCAGATCTGATGTCAGTCAAATCGTAATCGACTTTTGCAAATGCCTGCCAATATGTGAAAATGGTTTCTGACCGCTCAAACTGGCATATGCATTTCCAGGCAGTGGGATAAATCCCTTGTAAAGAACCACATTCACCGACTACCATCACCGGCTTGCAGCAACCAAAGAAGCAGTGCGCTCAACTCTACCAAATAACCTAAAACTTGTGTGTGTGTAAATTTTTTATAAAATATAAATATATATAAAAACCCACTCACAAATGAAGGTATAGACAAAATCATTCAAGTTGCATAAAGCAAGACAGCGACACTAACTGCAGGAGATGTGGAGGAGCTATGAGGGGGACATGAGTTGGTGTTCTTCAGTGCCTTGTATCCTAATGACCAGAAGGATCACTGTACAAGTGTGTACTTGCCACTGATTTTTTTTTTGCCCCCTTTCATAATAAGATTGCATTTGGAAAAGTCTGCTAGGCAACTCTTCGAGGCACTACAAAAACTAAATCTTTCCTTTGGTCAATGAAAACTGTGCAAATATCACAAAAAAATGTCAATGTTTGACAACATGCTCCATGCCACAATACAGACACTCAGGAAAGAAGCAAGGAAGGGTCACAAGCAACATTACACAACAGGTAAGTACTTTAGGTAAGCGCACACTGTCACACTGTTAATGCTGGTGACTGACGTGGGATTATTATGAATGCAGGTATAATATATACTACAATAGATATAACTAAACTGTAAATGTAAAACTTGGCCTTCCTCAAAGTAAGCGAATGTAAAACATATCAGCTGATTAGCTCCCTTTTGGTCTCTTAAAATACACAATTTGAAGCATTCTGTTATATCTAAAAAACCTCATCAGCGTCTGAATCGTCAAAATATATAAAACTTGATTCATCTCCAAAAATCAATTCAATAAAATTTAATATGATATTTTGAAGATTCACAGGCGCTGAGGAAGTTTTTTTGACTTTGGACTTTGAGGAGAAAGTAACATTTTTTGTGCGTTTGGGGGATTTATTTTAATTTTGATAACAATTTTGTTGGTACACAGATTTTGGTATTCATTCTGTTATATCTGTTTGATGTGCACATACCGGTTAGTGATCTAATGATATTGCGAGAGTGCAACCTGTGCTGCTTACTTTTACTTGGTCTTATCAGTTTGCTTTACTTCCCACTCCCTCTGGTCTACTGTAAACCCCCCCCCACCCCCATTTTATTGGAAGGGGGGGGGGGGGGGGGGAGACATCCATAGACACTTTCCTTCCTAGAAAGACAGTGCTGCACCCCCAAAGTAAGAGTGAGAGCTTTACTGGCAGGATTACCACTGGAAGAAGCAATTTAGTATCGATATCACTACTATACAAATGTGGCCGGCAAAAGAAAGGAGGGAGTGTGCAAGAGTGCTGGGCTATCACTTACCTCTGAAAATGGTGAACATAGAGTTGTGTAGGAATACTAAGCAGGCGACTGTAAATGGAAGTGACACCACTTAGATTTCCCTGCTCAGTCTCATAGGTAATATACATCTCCCACAGCTTGTCAGATCGAAAATCTAAGCCAGCAGACATGATTGCATGCTCAAATGTCCTGAAAGGGAAAAATATCTGGTGAGATTAAAAAAAAAAAAAAAAAAAAAAAGTTGTACAAAATACAGATGAGAAAAATTCATTATCCATTCTCCCCAACTTCTTCACAGTTTTACAACTGCTTTCTGTGAAATGGGGGGGGGGGGTCATTATTTTAATGTCTGGCTATTATCAGGAACTATTTTGACTTTAGTCAAATTTCTAAGCAGATGCCTACAACTAAGCTTTGTAACAGCTGCTTCATCTGCAGAAGACAGTCATTTCTAGTGAACCACTCTCACTATTTGAGTGCCTTAGGAACACGTGGGGTGTGTGTTTGAACCGTGGTTTTATCCCCCAGCATCTTGGTTCAGCAAAACATTTCCCCCATTGCATTACACGGGCAGCACGGTAGCAAAAACAACCCATTCAACTGAATGGGGCTGCACAGCAAAAATGAGCCACAACACTAGGCTAGCGGCTGTGACATAGTATTTCCATTCTCCGGGCATTAACTGCACCCGACCCGATCTGTAATGTGCTGGAGCCCAGGCTAGCTACCATTTTTGCCGATGCTCATCATTAAATCAGTAGTCTTTTTTTTGGACCTGAAACACTGCAGCCAGATAGCCACGTGGCCACTCCAAAAAAGGATCCTCTTTCTCCACAAAGAAATGATCATGGATTTAAGTAAATGGGAACTTCATTATTAGCTTTTTTGTTCCAGCAACTAGAGAAAGGTGGGTAAAATATAGGGTGTAACAAGTGAAGCTTTAAACTGGTCAGGAGAGCCACAACAGAGGCAGATGAAGCCATATGAAAATTTAAAATCTGCTAGTATCAAGGTGAATTTCAAAAGTCAATGATGGTCAGGGGCTCCAACACGCCTCCTCAAAAGGCAAAAACTATTCAGTCGTCTTTGACCCTCATAACGGATGACCATTAAAGCCCCTGAAACATGTTGACCATTCAATGTCAAATAGGTAGGAAGGAGGAGAGGGATCAGAGGAGAAGCTGCAGATTCTGGTACATGCTCCACCCTAAAAACAGGAGGAACGTGTATCATGTTCCAAAGGGGAACTTATCCTTTAACATGGTTTGTCATAGGCTCACAATAAGAAGTTACAGTGCAAATACCATCAACCTAAATGTACAGCAACTCTCGGTTTATAAATATTTCTCATATGAGCAAAGTAATCTTACCCTCTTAAAGTATTACAAGTCTCCGGATCTGCGGGATCTAAAGTTTCTTTTAAGAACTGGAGATAATGTATCCAAAGGTCAACACTTAAAGTGATAGCCTGAATTCCTCTCCGGTAGACCTACAGAGGGAAACAAACAAAATACACCAAAAAGAATGATACATATGCTCCATAAAAAAACTCAAAACGTATTCGGTCAACCTTACAAATGCTAAAAATTTGGAATTTCATTGAAAATCTGCCATTACCATTGAAGTGGAGGTTGGATAGAACATGGCTCATGTTCTGAGCTCCACTTGCAGGGTTCTTGGTCTTCAATGCGCGGCTGTATTCTTAGCAGGAGCTGAGGGCTGGCTTTGGGGGTACAGACCATAAGGCACAGACCCATTAGAATCTCATTCACAGCGTCTGAGCATATATTCAGTTACATGTATCAAAAGTATAACTGCATGGTTAAATCTACGCCACCACACAACGACTGGCAGAAAAGCCCTGCCCTACGTGTTAAGCTGCAGTGTAATAGAGGCTTGCACTGCACAGCTTGACAAACTGTAGAGATTTAATGCACCTGTCAACAAAGAAAGGAGATATTAGCACAAATGTCACGCTGAGTGACAAATGTTGCAGTAATAATCCTGCTATGACCTTATACAGGGCCTGAAGCAGTCTCCAACATGACTAAAGTCCAGTCTCTCCAATCTAACGCCTACTCAACATCAAATTACCTCATCAGCTTCCAAGATGTTGTTATTGCGTCTTTCTAGATCAGCATACTTTTTCCAGTAACCGTAACAGTATGGATAATGAGCGAGAAACATGTCAAACACTCTTCGGGCAGCATAGATGTGATTCTAAGTAACAAAAAAAAAAAAAAAAAAAAAAAAACTTATTACATTGGGAGACAAGAAAAGAAATATCCTTCATATAAATGTCTGAAAGATGCCTTTTGAGGCAGTTTTAAAAAAATATGGAATGGTAGTAAAACTACAAATATATAGTGCAAAGCAGGAGATCAAGTACAAGGAACACTGCTGAAAAAGCCATGCTGGCTCAGGCAGGAGGCCACAGATGGGTGTAAAACACAGGAAGGGAGAGTGTCATCAGTAACTGCACGAGATATGGCAGTGAGCTGAGGGAAAATGGATGGCACACGTTGGTCGGCAATGCCTCCTCTCTGCAATGGACAGTGCCCTTCTGTGCTGCACAACCAAAATGGAAGTTTCCTCAGCTGAGTCAAGGTAGGAAGTTGTGCTCCAGACAGAGCTTTTCTTGGGCAACTGAAACCCCAACTTGCCTGCCATTGTGGGGAGAGGGACTAGAGTAGTACAGCCGCCATCATGCACAACACAAGCTGGTAGCTACTACTTTTGTGCTTCTCCCCACAACATCAGGTGAGCAGGTTGAGGCTCTGTAGTTTTTCCTCCTGTACTAAAACAGAGGATAGGAGACACAGGGGTGCAGATGCCCCTCAGATCTACGAGAGCTTTCATCACCCCCTTGGTCTCCTCTCTGTGCCAATTCATTGTCACCGAATTAAAACACTTGCTAGTAGGGTGGCGAGACAAATGAGTCGAGGGGAGTATGGTGAGCAAACTGTCAGCCTCAGCAAAAAGGCTACAGATTGAAATAGGACAAAGTACTCCATACACTAAATCATACTGGTGCACCGAAATTAAGATTCTGGACCGAAACCTAAAATTCAGAAAGCACTTGACCAAAACAGAGTTTTAAAAAAAATATTTTTTTTATATGTAATTGCACTATATTCCATTTTTGAATGATGAATTTAAATGATTAAATACAATCCAGTAATATAAAATAAAATTGTTTAAAGAAATTAAAATGAAATATATAGAACATTAAAAAAAACTTAAATAGGAGGTCTTTTTGCCATGAAGTCAAGTCAATGGGACGTGATTTTAAACTGAAGTCAATCATCATTATTGGCACTTTTTTTCTATTGACAAAACAACTATAACCCTATTTTGGCAGATAGGTTTGGGCGGCCAAAGTATCAGTGATTTACTACTAGGTCCCATATAGGATTCAAAAAAATTATGATACTTTAACATTTACCTCACCAATGTGAAATTATTCCAGAATATAACCATTAACCACTCACTAAAGACCAGAATTTAAAGTATACCTTAACGTGGACTTCCAGCAGAAAAAAAAAAAGTCAGCGACTACACAAACTGTAGCTGCTGACTTTTGAAATACAGCCACTTACCTGTCCCTCGGTCCAGCAGTGTCCTCACCACCGCTGGTTTCACCGGCCATCTTCTCTTCCTGGCACAGGCATCTTCAGTGTGGGCACCTGGCTGTGACAGCTTGCAGCTTCACAGCCGGGTGCCCACTGCGCATGGGCGAGAAGCGCTGTCCTTTGTGAATGACCCCATAGTCTTCTGGGACATTTCACATGTCCAATAAGACTACGGGGAGGGAGGGAGGGAGGAAGGACAACTTCCGCTTCCGATCGCCTAGGTGATTGCAGCAGAAGTGGGAGCGGGGACTTGTCAAATTTGAGTACCCGCTCCCCAAAGGTGCCAATCCTTAATGGGGAGTGGGGGACAAAACATTAAAGCGGAACTTGCCCTTTTGGGTGGAACGCAGTGAAAGTACACACTGTCAAAGGACTATGCATTCGGGATTACTTACTAAAACTGTAGAGCACAAAATCTGGTGCAGCTCTGCATGCTAACTAACTAGTTTCTATGCAGAGCTGCACCATAGTTTACACTCTCCAGTTTTAGTAAATTAACCCCATTATGACAATTTTCCCTCTTTCTAATCTGTACATAAACTCTCTCAACTGTCTCCAATCTTAACATCTTAGCTTTCACAGTCCGTTTTCTGCTACCAAATACTGCACACATTTAGAACCTTGTCACATGTTTTAATACAAGTCTAACCTTGCAGCTACAGTTGCTTCTGCCACAGACACGCTGCAGAGGCGGTTATAACAAAATATTTAGCCATTAAATTGAGAAAGTCATACATTTGTACTACAGGAGGCACTATGGATTCTGTTTCATACAGAAAAAGGCAAAATGCAACAAGCACAAAACATTGAGCTGACCGAAAGACATTTCTGACACACCTCTTGTTCAATATAATGCAGCAGATAAGTCCAAGTTGTAAACTCCTCAGGATTGGCTTCCACAGCCTTCCAGTACTTGTCAAATTCTGGGGGGAGTGGTGGCTCTGGCTCTGTTTTTGGAGGGGGTTCTGCCGCCTCCTCCACATCAGGTAATGAATCCTGTTCCGGAGACTGCTCCATTGCTGTAACTTCTAGAATATCTTTATTGGCCTGGGAAGTCTCCGCTGTGGCTGCCGCATTGTCTTCTGAACCCTTCGTCACAAGACTGTGATCAGACTTTGAATCCTGCATTTTGGCAGCTTATTACTGCAGACTTAAGAAAATAGAAAAAAAAAAACCCGATTAATTCAGCCAGCAGCACAAATCATACCACTTCATAACTTTTAAAAACAAAGCATAGCAATTTATAAAAAAATTCTGAAATAAACTATGTTTAGATGTTGGTGTACCCAGAGCACACATTACACAGATGCAGGAAGCACAGTATTACCTACAGTATAGGCAAGGCCACAAATGGGCTTTTCTCTCATTGCCTGTAGGACAGCAGCATTATTAAGTAACTGTAAAAAAAAAAAAAATGGCCCAACGTGCACTTACAGTGTAGAACTTTGATAAAACAGCAACTTTTAAAATTATTAAGGTCCTGGTCACACTTAACCCTTTGAGGACCAAGGGACGTATTTGTCCCATATTTTTAATTGCCTGTATCTTCTGATTAAGAACTCAAAACTCTTTTTTTTTTTTGGTTTGAGTCAAAATATTAGTTCTTATCAACAAACAAATGGATCTAGCTTTTTGCCAATTATTTCATGAAATGGCTCAGTTACAGCAACTGAAGTGTACGAACTTTAAAAACAAAAAAATTGATTCTTTTGGTGCTCCAAAATCTTACGGTCCTCAAAGGGTTAAGCGATTTGGAATCACGGGCAGAATCGGCGCTAAATTTGCAACAAAACACGCATTTGGATGCCATTCATCCTTAAGGGAACCCCAAACATGGTGCGACTTTGCCTCGATCATCGCACAGCAAGACAGGCGTGTAAAATGCGCCTGGCTTAAGCTTCTTTGCTGCAAATGCACACAGTGCAGCCCATTCTAGTAAATGGGCTGCCCTATCCGCAACACAGAATCGTGTGAAAACTGCCCACACAAAACCACAATCGGGAATACGAGTTCCCCCTACGGGAAATGTGAATGTGGTCTGATTGTACACACAAAGAACAAACTTGTCACAGCCAGAAAGATGCCCTAGATCAGGCACGTCAAACTTTCAGCCTGCTACAGGTAGGCAAGCAGGGAGACCCCTCTACAGCACAGTGAATGTGGTGGGCAGGCATAAGACAGAACACTCGTGTCTCCAAGCATCTGCAGTGTGCTGGATGGGAGAAATAAGCATAGCATCTGCAGCTCTGGAGTGATCACAGCAAACAGACTACCTGAAATCAGACACAGGCTGGAGTTTCAAATAGGGAGATTGTTTAAGGGCCAGTTCACACTACCAAAATGCACTCTGGATGCATTCTGGATACGTTTTTGCATACAGTTCACACCACAAGCAGTTCCAGTGCAGTTCGCTATGTTCCAGTATGGTTCTGTGCAGAAAAAAAAATGCATGTTCTACTTTTTTTTTTCTGCTCCGGTAACTGAATGCACTAGTGTGAACCAGGGCCATTGGAATACATGGAAAACACTGTGCAAGCATTTTTGATGCAGAAAAAAAAAAGCGCACTGGACTGCATCTAGTGTGAACTAGCCCTGAAGGCATTTGTGGGCAGGGAGCTGATGGGGCGGCTTCAAGGCAGTCTAAATGTGATGGGCACAAACAGTGAATATAGCACAGACTGATGGAGGTGGGCAGAGGCAGCAAAGTACACTGCCCTGGAGATCCAAACGCTTCCCTCTATCATCAGATTATTTTTCATCATTATCTGTAACACTCATACATCTGTCAAGTGTAGGCTGTGTATTAAAGTGGTTCTAAAGGTAGAAGGGTTTTTTTATCGGAATGCATTCCTTCAGTGTGCAGCTTCCCCCCAATACTTTACTGAGCCTGATCCAGTAATGCACGAGAGCAGCGGCTCTCCCTGGTCTTTCCCTCCTCATTGGCTCCCTCTTCTGTCAATCACAACCATTGAGGAAGAAGCGGGGGCCAAAGCCAAGCTTTTTAAAATGGAACTCAAAGACCGGCATAATGCTCTAAGTTGAGCTGTTCATGCACAATTCAGTTCACAGTGCCGGAGAAGTCAGTGAGCAGGCAGGAAGGGGCATTTAATTGCAGAACAGATGTTGCATGCCTGCCTGGTCATTATTTAAAGCGGAACTTTAGTTCAGGTCTAAGACAAACAAGGCTTTTCTTTTATTGATTAACTTGCAAAATGTTTTTGTTTACTTAAATGCAGGGTGGATAAAAATCAATGATTTAAAAAAAAAAAAAAATATCGATTTTTTTTATTTAAAATCAGATTTTTTTTTAATAAAAATGCTTTTTGAGGAAAATATATTACCATCCAAAGGTTATTCCATCATGAAATAAAGATTAGTTTTTTAATTATGTAGAATAAGGATGTATATGTTTAATTGTTTTGGTAAATAAATTCCATGAATCCATTCACAATGTCATGCTCTTCCAGAGGTTTTTGTAAGATTATTGGGCAGTTTCTCTGCCTACAAGATATTATCACAGATGTTTGGTTTACTTTTGCAGTTCTCAAAACTGAATTTGACTCAGCGGAGATCACATGCCTCTTCTTCACAGCAAAAATGTTATAACATGAACAGAGTTAAGAAAAAGACCTTCATCCTAACTTCTACAAACCTATGAATACAGAATCAACCCCTTCAGTGCTAAGTTTCAAGAAGTTCAGTGAATAGAATAGAAACAATATTTTACTGATTGTTTGGAGTGGAATAGATCTGCACAAGAAGAAAGTGAAACTAAGTGTGAGGAGGAAGGGGCTGACAGTCTACGTTTCTTAAAATATATATATTTTGTTTAGCCAAATTAGTTACCAAACATGGATGTTTAAGCAAATCACATATGCTGGAATGTTATTGTTTCAGTTGAATAAATCTATTTAAATTGTTATTATTAAGGTAATGATTATTTTTCTCCTTCCTAAGTACAACAGAAAAGTTGTCCAAATATGAATGATTAACCTATTAAACTGGGGATAAAAAAACTAATATGAAAAGTTGTTATTCCAAAAATCTTCATCTACTTGTATATTAAAGTTATACCAGCAAGAATTAGTCTTTATGTAGAAAACTAGGATTTACATCAAGCCTTACTGACTAGTGATTTAAATTGCGATTTAAATCAAATCCACCCTGCTTAAATGTATTGCATTTTCATGTGTTTTACTACAATCCAGATGTGATCCATACAGAAAAAAATGCAACATTTGTTGACTGCACTGGTGTGAATATTTACAGGTATTGATTCCTTTTTTATTTGATGGTTGAAATAAAGCTATAAACTATTTTTGAGCTGTTTGGTGCCGGATTTTTGCTTTTACACTAGAATAAACAAGAGCCACTGGAATGCATGGAAATCACTGTGCGTTTTGAGGATACGGACTTTGGGTCGGTTCACACCACAGAAACACAGCCTAGAAGTGTTTCTGTATGCATGTTTTTGATGCATTCCGGGGCATTTTTCCCCCTTCAGTTACCTTAAATAAGGACATGTGCGTTCTGGTGCATTTTTAATGTATTTTACCACATTCCAGTACAATTCAGTGCAGAAAAAATTGCAACTTTTTTCCTGGAAATGGAACAGACCACATTGGTGTGAACCATGCCATTGGAAACCATATAAAATACTATCCGTGCATTTTTGAGGCAGAAAAATAAGTGCACTGGACTGGATGTGGTGCGCACATCGGAGGCCTATTCACACCAGAGTGACAAAACACCTATTCACTCCCCTTCCTGTCAGGTGCCCCCACAGCTAGCAGCTTGCTATGGGGGGACCGCTGCTTCGTGTGTCCATTCACACACAGAGCCATGGCTCAGCTCCGCCCCCCCTCACCTTTGTCATTGGCTCACTGGCTGTGATTGACAGCAGTGGGAGCCAATGGCTCCTGCCTCAGCCAATGACGAGAGGGATTCCCGGGAAAGCAGACACTCCAGTGCACATTCTGGATTGAGAAGAGGCTTAGGTGAGTATAAGGGGGGGCTGGGGGAGATGCTGCACACAGAACATTTTTTACTTTCAGGCATAGGAAGCATGAAGGTAAAAAAAAAAAAAAAACCTGAGCCTTCAGAACCACTTTCACTCCAACTGCATAGACAGTCCATTATCCAACGAGTATAATGCTGGCCATAGATGGGTTGAAAATCAGCAGATTTTTCGGCTGGGGATTTATCGGTAAAGTTGGGGGGGGGGGGGGGGGAAATCGGCCGATTTTGCCAGCAATAATGGGCAAGTTGGCCGATCGTTTTACCCAATAAAAAATCTGCACATGAGCCGTGACCTGCAAGAAGAAGAAAAAGAATTCTAGTCCGCTATTATATTTGACATGAAAAAGTCTTGCAGTTGCAACAATGTATCTATTTGTATACGAATAAAACATCTGTATCCGAAATGGATACAAATAGATACATTGTTGCAACTGCAAGACTTTTTCCTGTCAAATATAATAGCGGAGCTCTGCAGGGACAGAATTAAATGCCGGCTGTAGATGGGACGAAAAATCGGCCAATTTTTTTTACTGTTGTTGGTAACGTCGGCCTATTGAACGACCGACTTTTCATTTTCTTTTTTTTTTTTTTTTTAAAATGGCTGGTTTTCGACCCGTCTATGGCCTGCATAACTCACATTATTGCAGTGAAAAAAAGTACACCGAGCTATATTTTTTTCCACACTGTAAATGCACCACAATGCAGCGCACATAAAATCCCAAAGAAGACAGAAGTGACCTCACAGAAGACGTAAGCCTAGGAAAAATGTACAGCTAATGCACATCACTGCGCATGCAAAAACAAGCAGTAAATGCACAGGTTCTGATGTGATGGCTAGCTCACACCACAAATGTGTCCTCCAGATCTGCATGCATGTTTTTGACACGTTTCCAGGTGCTTTTTTCGCTGTACTGGGGTGTGGTGCATTTTTGATGCATATTACCACATTCTAGTACAGTTCTGCGCAGGAAAAATGCAGCCTGTTCTAGTTTTATTTCTGGAACTGGAGTGCACTGGAACTGCAAGCATTGGTGAGAACTGTGCCATTGAACACCACTGTAATCCACTTTTTATGCATTTTAGATGCAGAAAAAAAAAAAAAACACTGG